GCATTTGAATGTAAAAAACCTTTTTGATTTGAAATTAGTAAAATTTATCCTAAGAGATAGGCAGAAATAATTCTCTCTATATGCAGGGAGCATTGCTTTTTTACAACAAAACTCTTAACTTTCCACATCTGAAGAAATGTTAAAAATATAATACGAGAAAATATTTTAGTTTTAGTTCTACTGTTTCTTTTAATAAAATAACTAAGCGAGCACATTTAAATTCATACTTTTAAAATAATATTATATGAATAATTTATAATTCTAAAATAAAAAATTTATACCTGTTTAAATCCAAGGATTTTGTAAGCATTAAAAGAATAAAACTAGATCTTTGCACCTAGAATAAAAATATAAACTCAATTTTGTACATGAGCATAACTTATTTACGCATCTGGAAGAAGCATTTAAAATTCCCATGGTATTTCCAGACAGACAAACATTTCTTTTTTTGTCTGCAAGTTTTCGAAAAGTTCAAAAAGAAAAATAATTTGTCTGCATTTCATCAAATTACCTATTTCTGAATTTAAATTCTTATTACGACTATGAAATCAGTAAAAATTGTACTTTTGATAATTTGATCCATATAATCGATCCTGCCAGTTTAGTGGGTTTTTGTAATTATAAGTCAATTGTATATTAACATGAAATAGGTCACGGTAGCTGAGTGGTTATGACCTCGAGCTCTTGACTAATGCTTTTACAATCGAGTCTCAATTTCAAGTATAATGCCTATATATATATATATATATATATATATATATATGACATGTTTTGAGACAGAGTCAGACTTAATTTTAAAAAGAATCTTTATTTGATGAAATCTATGCAAGCTCTGACGCTGAGAGGAGGGAGAAAAAAGAACGCCACGTGAAATCTAAGTGGGTTAACACTTAAAACACAGATGGGGTAAGTATATTGCGGATTTTATATATGATTGTATTTGAAAGTTAATGCTGGAATATAGAGGACTATTAAATATAACGATCTGGAATTAGACATGTTTATTGGCTAGGCCATATGTTCGGAAGAAATAAATGAGTGATTATATAGCTTGATACTTGAAGATGAAATGAAAAATATGAGTTAAGTGTTAGATAGGGAATTTAATTATATATATAACAGTAGATTTTATCCCCAATACCTTAATTTAATGCAGTCAAATAGTAACAAATATGAAGCCAAATTTCTTGATATAGAAACTCATTTAAAAGATAACGTACTATTACTAATATTTATGACAAAAGAGATGAAATTAAATTCAATATTATAAAGGTATCTCATATTAAGGAAGTAATGTACATGTTTCTGTATACAGAAATATATTTTTATTAATTACCTAATTACCTAACGCAACCTAGATTTCTTGTTTCAAAATAATCGGAAAAAATAAAAAAAGTTATAAGCAGTTTATTAACCCCTTAACTGCCGAGGAAAAATTATGAAATTAACCCCCCCTCCCACACACACACAGGTGCACGTTGTTAAGCAGTTTATTGTTCGAAAATAAATAACATGTTTTTTTTTACCTAAAAACTGTTTACTTTCACTTTAAAAAAGAAATAAAAGAAAAGGATAAAATAATAAAATGTAAATGAAAGATTTAATCTCTAGGTTACAATATAATAAAATGTAATGTATAACTTATCTGTTCTGTGATATATCCTGCAATATGGTTGAATATATAAACCGGCATCACATTCATTGCAATCGTACAAATAATTAAAAAGCTCCTATTACACACGGTAAGCAAAAATGACAGCAAATGAAGAATAGAAAAGAGCACACTCAAATGAAAAAACTTTAAAAACTGCTTAGATATGAGTTTCATCGTTCCCGGAATACACTCTTCCAAATTCCTTCCCCAACCCTTCTCCAAAATAAGTAAATTCTTAGATTATCAATGTCACTGTCAATGCCATTTTATTGTATTCCAAAGCCGTGGTACTAGTTTTAAGCGCAGCAGCACAATGCAATAAGTCCTCCTTCAGAAGGACGAGTATACACGTCCGAGACACTAAGTCAGCAGGACGTGTATACATGCTTGTGGCACTTGAAAGGGGTTAAATGCTGTGTAATTCAAAAATAACCAAATTTATTAATAGTTATCTGTATAAAAATATTCCAAATAGTAAGGACTAAATTCCTTAGAATATTAATAGTTTATTAATATTATAAATTTATCATTTTTTCCTATTTAGATATACTTACTTACTATTATACCTGCAATATTCAAATTATCGTTAAAAAAGCAATTGTTACCTTAATTTATTTTTAACCATAGTAATTTTTTATATTCAAATACATATATATAGACCTAATGTCCCTCAAGTAACGGTTGTATTGATATATATACTGTTTAATTATTTTAGTTCTACTAATTTCAAACTATTGCTAAGTGCTACTATTCAGCCAATCTCATGCTTTGAATTTGTATTTGGGTCCAGATTCTGGCAATAATATATTTATTGCACTCAGATTTTGCGCGGACTCTCCATTTTTAAGTGCAATTTTTACCTCTTTGCAAGCAATATTTTTTTTGCAAGTACCTCTATCTTGTAATAAATTAAGATATTCCTATCCATTATTTTATATAATTAACATTGAGGGGGAAGATTGGCTGGCCACAAAACATGCTCAACCCCACTTTTATATAAATCAGTTTTCATATATAAGCAGTCCTAAGTCAGCAATGTTTGTAATACTGCAGCATCCACTTTTTAATTTTCGATTGCTCATGAGTCCTTCATTGTGTTGCTTTCTTAGTGTCTCAGTGTTTTTCGATTTTGATTGATAGATGTTCATCGTTTGCAGATAATTAGACTGTATATATATATATATATATATATATATATATATATATATATATATATATATATATACTATATATATATATATATATATATATATATATATATATATATATATATATATACATATATGCATATATATATATATATATATATATATATATATATGCATATTAAATATATATAGCTCAAAGTCCACACATTAATGTGATGGTGAAGTTTGGAGAGTGGGGCACATAAGCTCAAGTATTGCCACCTTGATTTATCTGTAGTTAAAAATTATGTGATACTTTTAGTAAATCTCTCGGCTGCTTCTAAGTATAATGTTAATGATTCATCAATTAAACAAATTTGCACTAGTAAAATTTAAAGAAATAATTTAAAGATTGTGTAATGCCCTAGCAGAAAGGCTCATTTCTAAATAATGATTAAATAAAATTAATTTTTGCGTTATTGAGAAAAGAGTTTTTAGATAATCTTTCTGACCTATATGGAGTTTGGAGATCACCTTGTGTTACAAAAGTGTTTTGTAACACAAGGAAATTGATTTAAATCTCACAAAATATGAGATCCACCTAATCATGTTTTGTGTTTAATATTTACGTACATTGTCAAACAATGATTTTTGAAATATTTCTATAACCGATTTCAATTAAATTTGTAAGACAAAACAAAATTTTAAAATTGTTTATGTTAAAAGAAAATAAATGTGGCAAGCAAGCAATCTAATAAATAATTAATATTAATTAGTATATAATAAATGAACAGTGTTAATAGATGTTTCAGCAGTTGTACGTATTGCATGAATGTATTTATTTCTGTTAAGATGTAAAAACATTTTCAAATATGTATTTACTTATACGAACACTTTGATTTATATATTCATCATGCTACATGACTGTGCAAGTTTTCTCTTTAAATCTTGCAGAAGTGATCTGTTTAAGTCTTTAGAAATATGAAAAAAACAAAAAAATAAAGTTTTACTCAAATACTTTCTCTTTTTAAAACGCAGCTAGTAAACATTTTAACATTATACACAAAACACTAAAACTCATCTAGCATGTACCTACGTTAGGGATACTCTGCTCTTACTTTTTAATTACGTAAAAACATGATTAACCCGCGATCACTCGCGCGGGGTGTTCTATGTACACCCCAGCAACAAGAAAATCCTCCCAGGATTCAAAAAAGAATGAGCAGAACCACAATTTTTTCTGTAGCTGTACATTTTAGGTCATTGAACCTTCATGCATGATGCAGTCCTTTCTCGAACGATTGGAATGTAATGACTCAAAATTTATCTGGGGGGCCTGAGAACTCCCGCGAGAAGTTGAGCACATGTATTCAGTCTGCTCTGAATGTTTGGAAAATGATTAAAATATTATTTTTCTACTTTCTATACAATCATTATCTCATTAATTATAAAGTATTTTTCTTACTGGTATATACGTTTTATATACTGGTTTGTGAAAAAATATAAAATTATGTGTTTTAAAATGAAAATTTTGTATGTTTAGTTTAAATTAATGCTAGTCTCATTTGTATGAAATAAATTTAATAATTTTATTTGCATAATACAAGAAACATCTTGTACTTTATAAATATGTATTATAATGACTTAATTTTCTTTTCGTTATTAAATACACGTGTTAAAAGTTTGGGGTGTTCTCTACACCCCACGAGTAACGAAGGTAGCAAAAACAGGCGCGAGTGACCGCGGGTTAAAATTGTAATATAAATGTGCATAATAGCTGTGAATGAAAGTAAATTATAAAATTGATTGTAAAGGTAAAATAAAGGTTCATTTCAATATTTTAATACTTAGTATCATCAAAATTTAAAAGAATATATATAAAAAAAACATTTTTTTTTAAACAGTGAATTAAACACTTTTAACAAATAAATATAAAAAAGTAAATAAAATCAATTACTACTTAGGTCAAAAAAGAAAAAAAAATATCTTTGTTACTTTTTATTGAATTATTACAGTTAATACAAATAAGTATATACAACATATGACGGAATCACAATATTAAGTGGCAAAATATAAATCGAATTTCCTTGTAATTTTCCATTTTCCTTTCTTTATAGGGTGTTGGACTATTATTTGTTTGTCACTATTTATTCATTAATTGAATGTAATTATTCCAATAAAATAGTACACAGTAAAAAGAAATCCCATTCTCAGAAATTAGGCCATCCCATGTGGGATTTGAACCCACGAAATTGGAAATAGAAATCCAACACGCTATCCATTACGCTAGATGGACTCAACAAGCAATTTTCCTTTTTATATATGGTGTTGGGCTATTATTTTGGTTACAATTTATTGATTAATTAAATAGAATTAATATATTAATATTTGAAAAACTGTATTTTTACATCAAGTGTTATCTACAAGTTTAAAAAAAAATGTGTTTGAACTTGAGTGGATGAATAAAAAGTATTTTATTAACGATTGAAAATTTGAATAATATATATATATATATATAAACAAATATATATAGGGAGAGAGTGAACTAATAGTAGAAATTGAAAAACAAAAAACATTCCCTTTGAAAAACACTTCAATTAAATCTGAATACATTAATTTTGAATGAAGTCTTACCATCCGTCGCAAAATGCAATTCTTGAAACGAAGAGAGAAGTTTACCTAATTCAGAACGCTCTAGCAGATATCTTGATGACGTTAATAGGCTGATTACCGGTGCTCATGTAGTCACTAATGTTATACGGATAAGGCCAATTACTCCACCAATGCATTTCCTACTCCGTTGTTTGCGGGACATTCTTTTCTCAATTGTTCGCTTAAGGGACTTCAGAAAAGTCAACAAGAATAAGAAGCACAGGTGGCTGCATTTTTGAAATATGCATTGGTATATTTGATGACATAATGATCGTTATTTTCTTAAAATAAATAAATATAGTGTGTTAGATTTCCTTGTGCATACTCCCAAGAAAGCGTTAGTGTTCTTATGAAAACTCTTAACTATGCCATTAATCTAACATTGCAAATGTTTCAAAACTTTTTTTTTTAATTAAAATATAATATGATTTACGTGAGTTGGACCTTATACTTACTTTCAAAAACTAAAATTAAAGTACAAGTGTTTCAAATATTATTGAAACAATTGTAAAATATTTCTGATAAGTACTTTTATACTTTGTTTATTTTCTGTATTTGCTAAAATGTATGACTTTTACTTCCAAAGAACCTCGAAGAATTGTAACTGAATACACATGTTTATAATCACAATAAATTAAAATATTTGTCTCCTATCTAATAATAATTTTTAAGAATTACTCTATATTCTTTGTTTTACTATATTTACATCTATATAAGTTTTCCAAAAATTTACGATATTTTTGAAAGGATTTGATGAATAGGATTTTACATAGATGTTATGTTGGATTTACACACACACAAACTCTGTATATATATATATTACAGAGATATAACTGTAATCAATACTCATTTACTAAATTGGCATGAATATAATAAAGGAAAGAAAGAGTAGAAATATCACTAGCCAACATAGGTCAAAAATAAAATAATCTCAGCAGTGTAATAGCAAATTCTTTGACTTAGAACTAAAATTGTAGGGTTAAGCACTTAAACAGCCAAACTTCCCCTATATTTGTCTATTACCACTAGGCTGTATGGAAGATAAAATAGCGTCAGAATGAGATTCTATTAATACTAAATCATGATATTATAATCATAATACTAAAAATTCTAAATAAATATACATACAGTTTATGTTTGTTTATAATAAAATTGAAGTGAGCATAACGGGCTAAAAATTTGCAGAAAAGTTGAAAATGCTTGTAAAAAATTTTTTTCTGAATTTCAAACAAATAGTGTTATACAGCAACTGAATATATAAGGCATCCAGATACAAGCAGCAAACATTTGGTGTATCGATATAATAAAGGGAAATAAGATTATATACATTTATCCATCCTCCACAATTGTGGTTGGAGCAGATTAAGCGAATGACGGCTCATTACACCTCGCATATACTCGTTGGGTTCATTGGCGAAGGAAGAAAATGAATATCTCACCGTTTTAGTCAGCTTACGATCACCGTGAATGATGAAAAATTGTTTTACTGGAGAAAAATCCCCTTTGAAACCATAGAATTTAGTGAAATTCAATGAAGTGTGGCAATTGCTCTTATACCGTAGTACCTTCGGTTGCATTTCTAATGCGAACTAAGGAAGACTGACTATCCGCACACCTGAACTTGCATCTCCCCCTCCCCCAGCAAATCTTCAATTGGACATCAATTTGATGACATTTAATCTAGAAAGAATTTGATTTCTTGAATCGCATCGTGTGTAGTAGGCCTGATGTTATTTAAACCCGAAAGTCAACAATCCCATTTTATTTTATATCTATATATTTTTATTTTTATATTTTATTTTTTTTGATATTCATAATAAAACTTTCCTTATAAACAGTATCTTGCAGCTAAAACATGAGAGTGGATTGTTACCAAAATTTGATGTATTGAATGTACAAGACATACATCTCAAAGGATTCATAAAGCAAAAATTCTAAGATTCCTCTAGGTTGCCCTTTTCAACTAAAAACAGCAAATTTAACAAAGAGAGAATGATCCACTCAGAATGTATAAACAATATGAACAATTCAGAACAACACATATAAAAAGCAAAATATATAGGTGAGAAAAGCATAATTTTTTACCATATATAGGTTCTAAGGGAAATATTTATATACATCTTAATATAAATTTATAACCTCTATCTTGTAATGGATTTAAATATTCCTATCCAATTTTTTTCTATTGGTTTTTGCTCAGTGTTATTTACATAAAGAGGGAAGATTGACTGGCCAAAAAACATGTTCAACCCCACTTTCATATAAATTATTTAAATATTAGCTGTCCTAAGTCAGCAACGTTTATAACACTGCAGCATCCATTTTATAATTTTTAATCTCGGTTACTCATATGTCCTTCATCGTATGATTTTCCTACTGTCTGTGTGTTTTTCGAATGTGATTGTTGGATGTTATCTCTTGTTTGTAGAGAATAAGCCTATATATATATATATATATATATATATTAGCTTTCAAATTTCTCATTCAGATGGCACCGTTACTATAGGGTGTAACCTGTTAACAGTGTCATTTTAATCTGCAGTACACATTCATCCACCATAAGTTAGTTGCTTCCAATTTTTTAGTTTTATTTTTTCAAGTTTTAGATAAGTTTTATGGAGTTATGATTGCTATTTTTATTTTACTTCTAAATGCTGGCGTTTTCATTTGTATTATATGTGTTTAAATTAGTCACATTTATAGACATTAGTAAATTGTTTGACTACATGTGTATATTTTAGCTTAATTGACATTCAATATTTTTCTGACTTTAGCTCATTCTTTATACTTCCTGTACTAATATGAATTAAACTTTTGTTAAAAGGGAGAAGGTTAGTATCCTATAAAGAACACTGAGCTCCAACTTTTATAATATGAGAAGAGAAGCTTTAAAAAACATTATAGTTTTGCCTTTGAGTCCATTGATTTTTTCTATTAATACTCGTAGTTATCGTGCTTTTTAGACCTAAAATTCAGAATTTCATCTCTTGTTCTGTAAGATATATTTACAACTAATCCATCTTGATTTTGGTTTGTGATAATTATACATATATATACAGAGAGAGAGGAGCAGAGACTGCTAAAAAAATTAGGGGAGCTAATGGATTAAACGCAATTACGCAAATATTTCTTCTGATTACTAACGTAAAACAAAACATCCATAGTTCAAAATGTAGTAGAAAAAGAAGAAAACACACATCATATGCAAATTAATTTAAATGGAGTCAAAAACCAGAAAAACAGAATAAATTCAGAAATCGTGATTTCGTAGAAAATGTTGTTTTTCGACCTCTCAGATTCAGTTTAGAGTGTAAGTTAGAAGGCTTTTTGTATGATGAGAAAGGAACACTTGAAATAATCCAGTATTCATTCAGGTAAGATCAAATTACAGACGAGGTGGTTTGATGGTATGGACTGATATCAACATAGACGGACGTACTGACCTGCATATCTTATTGAATGACACTTTGACTGTTCAAAGATATGCAAATAATACCCTAAGATCCAATGTCTTACATTACGCTACAACTATTGGTGATTCGTTTCTTTTAATGCAGGATAATTTTCGGAGTTTTACAGCTCGTCTTGTGTCGAATTTTCTTGAATTTGAAACAGTACCATTTTTGGAGTGATCAACATGTTTTCCTGACTTAAGTCTTATCCAGCATGCCTGGGACTCATTTGCACGACGCATTAAACGAGATCACGGTCTTCGTTTACGTGGAGATAGTACTCCTTGAAGAGTGGAGCAGTATTCTCCGAAGTCTCAACAATAACTTTATGACATCCATGTGTGTTAAATAGGTGTGTGGCAGTCTTAGTTAGTTCAGGGGACTACACACCATATTAAACATCTTCTATCGATTGTAAACAATCATTTTTTTTTTCATTATTTACATGTAGCCAAATTGTTGGTCTGAAGCATCGGTTATGGTTTTCATACAATTGTAAATAATAAAAGTTCCCACATAAATGGGTTTTTTTCTTTGCTTCTTTTTTTCTGTATTGAGCCTTGCTACACATGTACTTTCCATTTTATGACTATGCAGGTCTATCGTGGAAAAAAGTCTTGACCTTTCCCCTAATTTTTTGAGCAGTGTTTATACATATATGCATAATGCTACAATTAATTCTTGAGAAAGCGTGATCGATAATAAAAAAAAATCGTAAAATTTCATTTTTGGAAAATGAAGTTTAAAAAGCAGTAGCTAAAATTAACGAAAAGGATTGCAATTACAATATACTAAATGCTAAGAGCACAAACAACATTAAATTTAATGAATCTAAGAATCATGTATTCTTGCTTCAGACGTTTCCCTGAATATATTTTAGGTCGTTGTTTTTTTTCAAAATCATCTACATTAATTGTAGTTTTTAAGCATAAGTTCAGATTCTAATGTCTAGTGACAAATGACTAATGTCACTCTGAAACCTACTTTTTTCTTCGATATATTTCCAAATTGTGAGTCCTAAAAGGAAACGATGAAGCGTACGCAAGAAGAATGAAACGAAAGAAAAGAATGAATCGGCTTGTCATTATTTTTCATTTGCTTTTCCCTCTTTTTCCGGAAAGTTCACGAAAGCAATGTTAGAAGTAATACACTGCTATCGTAATAAGTTAATTAACCGTGCTTTTCGAGCTAG